GCGATTGCTGCTGGTATCACAGAGGGAATTCTCCCAAAAGCTAGTTTTAAAAAGAGCAAGCCTGGGGCTGGGGATGTGGCTCAAGTGGTAGTGCGCTTGCCTGGCATGCTTGCGGCCAAAACCGCAACCTCAGCACCACAAACAAACAAAGATGTTGTGTCTGCCAATAACTAAAAAATAAATATTAAAAATCTCTCTCACTCTCTCTTTAAAAAAATAAATAAAAAATAAAATTCATCATAAATTGTATTCAAAATATCTTTAAAAAAATAAATAAATAAAGTACCCAGCCTCTATCATTTTGTATTATTTCTGTTATAACAACAAAAAAATGGAGTAATGCAAGTCTGAAGCAAACTGAATTCACTGATGAGGGGACTTTTATGTAAGCCCCAAACTTTAAGGAGTCTTGTGGTTACCACGTTTGATCTCAGGACCCAACCTCCATGTAAAGAAATCAACACCTCCCCTGCTGAAGAGAGATACCATGTTTTTGTTTTGTTTTTGTTTTTGTTTTTTGCTTCTAGGTGCTGGGAATGTATTTTATTTTTATGAAAATTGAGAGGAGGGGCTGGGGATGTGGCTCAAGTGGTAGCGCACTCACCTGGCATGCGTGGGCCCGGTTCGATCCTCAGCACCACATACAAACAAGGATGTTGTGTCTGCCGAGAACTGAAAAAATAAATATTAAAAAAAAATTCTCTTTCTGACTCTCTCTCTCTCTGTCTCTCTTTAAAAAAAATAAAAAATAAAATAAAATAAATTAATTAATTTTTTTAAAAAAAGAAAATTGAGAGGAACTATGAGAATACGAAATCATCAAATAAACTGGTTGTAGAGAGAAAAAAAAAGTTGTATTTTAATGCTTGTTGTCCAAATTGAAGGTGTGAGTCAACCTTCAATATGTTTATAGCGATATACAATATTTCTTAAATAAAGAGAAAGAAAAAAAAGGGAGAGTGTGATATGTTACAAGGTTATCACTTGCACTTTAAGTTTGTGAGACAAAATTTTCTGAAAGGGCAACATGATCACTAAATTTTTGCTCTCATCAGATTGTAATCTCAGGGAAACTTGTCCTCCATTAAGAGCAAAGACTGGCCAGGCATGGTGGTGCATGCCTGTAATCCCAGCTACTCAGGAGGCTAAAGCAAGAGGATTGCAAGTTTAAGGCCAGACTGGGCAATTAAGCAAGCCATTAGAAACTTAGCAAGTCTCTATTTTGAGGATTGAATTCAGGGGCGCTTTACCACTGAGCTACATCACCAGATCTTTTATATTTTTTATATTGAGAATAGGTCTAGATAAGTTGCTAAGGCTGGCCTTGAACTTGATATACTCCTGCCTCAACTTCCCAAATCACTGGGATTACAGGAATGCCCCACCACACCCAGCTGTAAAACCCTAAATGAAAAGGACTGGGATGGAGCTCAGTGGTAGAATGCCCCTGGGTTCAATCCCTAGTAGAAAGGAAGGAAGAGAAAGAGAGACAGAAGCATAAGCTACTCCAAAGGGAGCTGAGTCCATCAAGAAGGTATAGAAGAGAAATCACTGAGGTCAGGATTTGGGGATTGGAATTCTTCCAGTACTTAAGATTTGGGAAAGAGGGAGAAAACTGCAAGAAAACAGGCTGTCTTACCAAGGTGGATGGATTCCCTTACAAGAGCCAAATACCAGAGCTCCTGTGGCACAATTGGTTAGTAAGCAGTACTTAGAAGAGAAGCAGAAGGCTTCCTAGCTAACAGGACAACCTCCCAGAAACTTTCTCTCACCTGTCCGCAAACCCTTTTATCTTCATTGATAAGCACCTTGTGTATATGTCTTGGATTAGCATCAGAGACCTAGTATATCAGTCTCATGTGCTGTGGCACCCTGTGAATCATGCTTCCCTATTGCTGAGTGATTTTTTAGTTTCTGTCATCAAGAAGTAGTCTGTCTAGTGGGGCACGATGGTGCATATCTGTAATCCCAGTGGCTCAGGAGGCTGAGGCAGGAGGATTACAAGTTCAAAGCCAGCCTTAGTAACAGTGAGGTGCTAAATGACTCAGTGAGTCCATGTCTCTAAATAAAATACAAAATAGGCCCAAGGATGTGACTCAGTGGACTAGTGCCCCTGAGTTCAATCCCGGGTACCCTCTCCCTACCCCCAAAAAAGAAGTAGTCTGTCTCCTCATCCCCTGAGTCTAGACTGGCCTTGGGATTTGATTTTTTTTCCTTCTTTCTTTCTTTTCCTTTCTTTCTTCGTGTGTGTGTTTCTGTGTGTGTGTGTGTGTTTGTGTGTGTGTGTGTGTTTGTGTGTGTGTGTGTGTTTGTGAGGTCCTGGGGATTGAACCCAAGAATGCTTTGCTATTGATCTATCATCCCCAGGCATTTTTATTTTTTATTTCAAAACAGGGTCTGAGTTGTCCAGGCTGGCCTTGAGATTGTGATTCTCCTGCCTCAGGCTTCCAAACTGCTGGGATTACATGTGGGCAATACAGAACCCACCTGAGATTTGCTTTGACCAACAGGGTACTTATCCTTTGGAACTTCCCAACCAAAAACCTTAAGGAGTCTTGTGATTATCACTTTTGATCTCAGGACCCAACCCCAATGTAAAGAAGTCAACACCTCCCCTGCTGAAGAGAGATACCGTGTTTTTTTTTTTTTTTGCTTCTAGGTGCTGAGAATCAAACCCAGGGCATTGCCACAGGAAGCAGGTACTCTATCACTCAGCTATACCCCAACCCTGGGCCATGTCTTTCTTTAAGAGAAAGTTGTTAAATGTTTACCAACCCTGGAAGGGAAGGAAACATCACTATTTCCTTTTGTAACTTTTGAACTTTTAAACATTTAAATATCACCTGTCTGAAAACAGAAAATGAACTTATTTTTAAAACATATTTTAAACATGTGGCCAAATAGAGAAAAATAAAATGAGGCAGAAAGAATATGTTGATGAGGGTCCAGGGAGAAGAGAAGGCACACCTATACCTACATCTATCTGTTACAGTTTGACTACGGATAGTGTCCCCCAAAGGTCTAGGTATAAAAGTTTGTTCCCTGGAGCTGCAGTACTGGGAGGTGCTGTGGACCTTTAAGGGGTTCTTAGATAATCAGGGGCATGCCCGTGGAGGGGAATGTGTTACCCCAGTGCAAGGCTTCCCAATCTTGAACTTGAACATTCAGAACCATGAACCATAATAAACTTATCTTTACTTCATAAATATCCTGTGTCAGGTATTTTGTTATAGAAATGCAAAGCTACATAGCACATCTGTGAGACCAGGCATAAGCCTGACTGGTCTGCAGCCAGCAATGCTGAGTGATAAATTCCACATGTACTGGTTTCCTCCTCTACTCAAGAAGCCCTGATTATACAATCTGACTAGTCATCAGCCCCTCAGGGCTGCTTCTGATCAAGCCTGACTTTTAGGATAATCACAGAACCAGGGTGAACCAGTTCTCCCATTTCCAAGGATTCAGGGATCAACCTCCATGTGCACCAGTCTGTTAGAATGCATTTCATGCTGGTACTCCTGAGTTAAGCAAGCTTTCCAGGTATAGAATGGACTCACCAAAATGACATCCAGTTACTTATTCAGCAGGAGATTAATCTACTGATGAGGTTAGACCCTTCATGGTTCATTCATTTCTCCAAATCCCCACTTCTGAACATTGCCTCACTGGGGAACAGGGCTTCAACACATGAGTGTTTGGGGGACATGCCATCTCCAAACCATAATGATCCCTCCATTTTTTCTAAACCATCTCTATCAGGACACATGTACAGCAATCAACCTCAAAGTTCTCCCATCACAGGAAGTAAGGCCATCACTTGATACTTTTCAGATAGCCACTGGACACATAATTCCCAACTATCACCCTCACAGAACTTTTGAATTTGCTGTAGCTCTCTCGTTTCCACCTGGAAATCTTCTCCTCTTTCGAGGACTTATGTGTTTATATTGTGCCCACTTGGATTATGTCTCTATCTGAAGCTCCATACCCTTAAATCTCACAAGGAGTCACTTTTGTCAGGTAAGGCCATATTCAAAGATTCCAAGAGTTAGAGTGAAAGAGTAAAAGAAATTGAAGTTAAAATGTAAAGGACCAGGTATTGTAAGGTTTCTAAGCTGCAAAGCCTGAGTTAAAATGTAAAGGACCAGGTATTGTTAAGTTTCTATGCTATACTCAAAGCCTGAAATTCCTGTAGCTGTTAGGACAATTCCCGGGACTGCCCATTAGATAATACCCCCTGACCACTTAGTTGTTTAACAACTTGGACCCAGTGCAGTTCGGCACGTAGGCACCTCAGGGCCCAAACCAATCAGTTTGAATGTATCCCCCTCCTTAGGACTGACCTATCACTCTCGCCCGACCTGTTCCCGCCAATGAATTTGCTAATCATGTTTGAGAGTTGTTGTTTGATTTTCCCACACCTCATGATGATTTGCTCTGATGTATGCAAAGCCCCCGCCCTCCCCAAAAAGTGTACTTAAGCACTGCTCAACCCCTGCTCGGGGCTCTTGGCCGCTCTCCCCTCTTGAGTGAGCCTGGAGCCCCAGCGCACTAGATCCTCAATAAACCCCCTTTTGATGTTGCATGAGTCGGCCTCTTGGTGGTCTCTTCCTCCATCATTCGCCGGACCCTTACATTTGGTGCATTGGCCGGGAATCCCGCAGCGCCAGACAAGGAGACCCCAACGGACTCCTCTAGGGGTAAGTAAGGCGCCTTTTTCCTTTTTCTTGCGATCGCTCGGAGTTTCAGTTTAAGGGTTGGCAGAGTGGCTGCCGGCCTTGGAGGACTTGGGAAACTGGGGGACGGAAGCACCCTCAACTCAGGTGTATTCAGTGACTCTGCTGCCAACCCATCAGGTTCTGCTGGCTACTCAGTTTTGTTCATTGTCTCGTGTTGAGTTTACTGTCTGCCTTTAGGGTACTCGTGTTAAATGTTTACTATTTGTCTTTATCGTCTGTGTCGCATTTGTGTCGTTACTGTCACTGTGTGTATTTCCCATTATGGGACAAAGCCATTCCATGCCTCTGTCCCTGACCCTTGATCATTGGACGGATGCCAGCTCAAGGGCCCAGAATCTTTCTTTTTCAGTGAAACGCTGGACCTGGCAGACTCTCTGCGCTTCAGAATGGCCCACCCTCGGAGTTGAATGGCCCCCAGAAGGATCCTTCCACCTCCCTCTAATCCGCAAAGTCAGAGATATTGTCTTTCAGCCGGGGCCACATGGCCATCCAGATCAACAGCCATATATCTTAACCTGGCAGGATCTCTGCGAATTTCCTCCCACATGGGTGAATCCCTTCCTTGTTCCAGCCCCCACTCCAACCCCTTCCCCCACCCGACTCACAGGGTTAGTCGAGTTGCTGATGTTCTCACACCAGCCCACTTGGGATGACTGCCAACAACTCCTGGGGACTCTCTTCACAACAGAGGAAAGGGAGAAAATCCTCTTGGAAGCCAGAAAGAATATTCTTGGACCAGATGGGCGACCAACCCAACTTCCCAACATCATCAAAGCTGGCTTCCTCTTAAACTGACCCAACTGGGACCCCAACACCTTTGAAGGTAGGGAGCATCTGTCCACTTACTGCTGGGCTCTTATAGTGGGTTTCCGAGCGGCCGCCAGGCGGCCAACTAATTTGGCCAAGGTAAGAGAGATTATCCAGGGGCCTAATGAATCTCCCTCAATGTTTCTGGAGAAAATTATGGAAGCACATAGGAGATATGCTCCCTTTGATCCTCAGGCAGAGAACCAAAAAGCATCTGTTGCAATGGCCCTTAACGGGCAGGCTGCCCTAGATATTAAGAAAAAGTTACAACGTTTAGACGGATTGCAAGATAGGACCTTAAGAGATTTAGTTAGAGAAGCTGAGAAAGTATATTATAAGAGAGAAACTGAGGAAGAGAGGGAACAGAGGAGGGAGAAGGAAAGGGAACAAAAGGAAGATAAAAGGAGCAAAAGGCAGACTAAAGTATTGGCAAAGGTCCTGGTCACAGCCGCAGATAGGCCAGAAGTTAAAAAGCAGGGAGACAGGAAGGGATACCTGGGCCCACACCAAAAGCTGCCCCTGGCCTCGGATCAATGTGCCTACTGTAAAGAAAAAGGACACTGGGCCAAAGAATGCCCCAAAAAGAGGCAGCCACGCCAGCCTGCCATGCTGACTCTAGAAGATGACTAGGAAAGTCGGGGCTCGGATCCCCTCCCCGAGCTCAGGGTAACATTTGAAGTGGAGGGGACCCCAGTGAACTTTGAAATAGAATACAGGATCAGTATATTCAGCCCTTAAGACCCCACTGGGCCTTCTATCTAATAAAAGGTCCTTAGTTCAAGGGGCTAATGGCAGTAGATATCGGGCTTGGACAACAAAGAGGACTATGGACCTAGGAAAGGGAAAAGTTCATCACTCTTTCCTAGTAATCCCAGAATGCCAGGCCCCATTAATGGGCAGGGATSTGCTCACCAAACTCCAGGCTAAAATTACCCTTAACCCTGATGGTCCCTAAGTGGAGTTTCAAAATCCTTCAGTAAAAACTCCCATAGTTATGGCTTTGACTATGTCAGTAGAAGATGAACATCAACTCTTCACGCCCTCTAAGACTGATCAAACGGGCAAACTACCCCAGAAATGGATAAAAGATTATCCTGATGCCTGGGCAGAAACTGCTGGGTTAGGCCTAGCCATAAAACAACCTCCAATAGTAGTAGAATTAAAAAGCCTCTAAGTAAAGAAGCTAGGGAGGGGATAAGGCCCCATATTCAGAAATACCTGGCTCTTGGGGTCCTAAGGCCCTGTCAATCGGCCTGGAATACCCCCCCCCCCCCGCTACCAGTAAGAAAACCAGGAACTGGGGACTACTGTCTTGTTCAAGACCTAAGAGAGATCAACAACAGAGTACAGGACATTCACCCCATGGTACCAAGTCCATATAATTTACTTAGCACTCTGAATCCCAAGCGGAAATGGTACACTGTGCTGGACTTAAAAGATGCTTTCTTCTGCTTGCCCCTGCATAAGGACAGTCAATTGTTGTTTGCTTTCGAGTGGATAGACCCAGAAACAGGAACATCTGGTCAACTAACCTGGACTAGACTCCCACAGGGGTTCAAAAACTCYCCCACTCTCTTTGATGAAGCTCTCCACAGGGACCTCAACGACTTCAGAACTGCACACCCCGAAGTCACCCTACTCCAATATGTGGATGATCTGCTGCTGGMAGCCRACACCAAGGAGAACTGTGAGTCTGGGACCCAAGCACTATTATCCGAGCTTGCTCAGCTCGGATATAGGGCTTCTGCCAAAAAGGCCCAAATTTGTCAACAAGAAGTAATCTTCCTGGGTTATTCTCTTAGGGGTGGCAGACGATGGCTCACTGAGCCCAGAAAACGAACCGTTGTGCAGATACAGCCCCCATTTAATAAGAGACAACTCAGAGAGTTTCTTGGGACTGCCGGCTTTTGCAGGTTATGGATTCCTGGGTTTGCGTTCTTAGCTGCTCCTTTATACCTGCTGATAAAGGGGGATGCCCAGTTCCAATGGACCCCTGAACACCAACAGGCTTTTGATAATATCAAAAAGGCGCTGCTATCTGCTCTGGCCTTAGCACTCCCAGATGTAGAAAAACCCTTCACTCTCTACATGAAGGAAAAGAAAGGAATAGCACGGGGAGTGCTCACTCAGAGTTTGGGGCCTTGGAAAAGGCCAATGGCATACTTACCAAAAAAACTGGACCCAGTGGCTAGTGGGTGGCCCCATTATCTAAAGGCTATAACAGCGGCAGCCCTTCTAATAAAGGATGCTGATAAATTAACATTGGGACAGAAGCTGACCATTATAGCCCCCCATGCCCYGGAGAGCATCATCCGTCAGCCTCCAGACAGGTGGCTATCAAACTCCAGAATAACCCACTACCAGAGCCTCTTGCTTGTCAAAGACAGAATAACACTGGGACCCCCTGCTCCACTCAACCCGGCTACATTGCTGCCAGAAGAATCATCAGGACCCGTCGCTCATGATTGTCAACACATACTGGCAGAGGAGACCAGTGTACGAGGAGACCTAAAGGATCAGCCACTGTCTTGCCCTGAGGTCATATGGTTTACGGACGGGAGCAGCTTCCTCCAAGACTGTAAGCGGCGGGCTGGAGCAGCAGTAGTTAGCAAAACTAATGTCATCTGGTCCTCTGGTCTCCCAGAAGGGACATCGGCTCAAAAAGCAGAACTAATTGCCCTTACGAAAGCACTGGAACTAGCAACAGGCAAAAGGGCCACCATATACACTGATAGCCGCTATGCATTTGCCACTGCTCATATGCACGGGGCTGTTTACCAGCAAAGGGGGCTATTAACCTCCACCGGGAAGGAAATAAAGAACAAAGATGAGATCCTCCGCCTTCTCTCGGCAGTAAAAGGCCCTAAAGAACTAGCTATAGTGCACTGTCAGGGGCACCAGAAGGGGACCGACCCTGTGGCAGTTGGAAACAGACGGGCAGATGAGGAAGCTAAGTTGGCAGCCCTAAACGGAGTGACCCTGTTAACTGTTTCCACGCGGGGGGAACAACAACCAGGAGACTTGGCTACACAAGAACCTTCAGGCAACTTATCGTCTGGGGACACAGATACAGAACTCTGGGACCCTACAGAGCCAAGTTTACAATTTCAAAAAGCCCAACTTTACATCAAAGACGTACACCAGCTCATCCATTTAGGCTCAAAGAAGTTACAGGCACTCTTAAAGGACCAAAGAAATGACTTATTATTGACTGACTCACAGAGGAAAGAAATAGCTGAGCAGGTGACTAGAGCTTGTCAAGTCTGCCAATTAGTTAATGCATACCCATCCAAGCTTCCTGCAGGGAGGCACTTGCGAGGAACCAGACCAGGACAATTCTGAGAAGTGACTTTACTGAAATTAAGCCAGCAAGGTATGGACTTAAGTATCTCCTAGTCTTTGTAGATACTTTTTCAGGATGGGTCAAAGCCTTCCCCACGAGGAAAGAAATGGCTCAGATGGTGGTCAAAAAGATCCTAGAAGACATCTTTCCAAGATTCGGATTGCCTAAGGTAATGGGGTCCGATAACGGACTGGCGTTTGTGGCCCAGGTAAGTCAGGGATTGGCCAGGACCCTGGGGATTAATTGGAAGTTACATTGTGCTTATAGACCCCAGCGTTCAGGACAGGTAGAAAGGATAAATAGAACCATCAAAGAGACCTTAAGGAAATTAAGCTTGGAGACCAGCATAAAAGATTGGACTATGCTCCTACCTTATGCACTGTTTCATGCAGGAAATACCCCCTCCACCTCTTTATGTAACCTCACCCCTTATGAGATTCTCTATGGTTCCCCTCCTCCAGTAAGGGACCTAACCCCAACTCTGAGACTTAATGATTCCTTTCACACCCCCTTGATTAATGGTTCAATTTAAATTGGGTAAACAGATAAAGGTAAATGTCTTTAAAATTAAGTTTATAAGTTTTTCTAGGTGCTCAAAAATAAAACCTAATAAAATGTTGATGTCTATGAAATAATCTGCTTAAATTCAAAAATTTACAAGTATTGTTTCAAAATGTGAACAGAAGGAGGTTAACAGATGGGAAAGAGAAACTAGAAGGTTCTAGATATGGATTTAATAGAGGGAAAATGTGTTTCTGGATAAGAGAGTCTATGTAATTAAGTAATTAAGAGGGTTTAAGTAAGTGATAAAGAAGGTCTGTGTAAGTTGGTTATAAGTGTAAGTTTTTGAGCAAGTAATCTCAAAAAAATTAAAAATTATACAACTATGGTTAAACAGCAACTGTTATTTTTCAATATTGTAATGTTATTTGTTTAAAAGCTAACCTTGGTTAATATAAAATCATCAATGGAATTATGGTGCTATTAATCTTCCAGGTATACAAGTCTATAAGGTAGAAGCTTCAAAAGAGCATTATATCAAGCTGGTATTCTAAAGTTGTATGGTAATTTTTGGCTCAAAAAGAAAAACACGTTGGAGATTTATTTATATCATTTGTGTTCTATAACTGGACTTGTTATCAATAAGATATGTAAAGTTCTATGTTACTTTTTACACTGAGATACAATTTAAATGTATTTTTAAGTTAATGAGAGCCTAATCTGTGTGAAGGTTTTATTGCAAAACACAAAAATACTTTGATACTTTTCTACAAAAGGTTAAAAGCTTTCAGACTTTCTTTAATTCATGTTTTAGATGTGATATTATGCTGTGTTAGCTAATGTTCATGTTCAAGAGAATGGACAACTTTGGGTACCATTATTCTGCAGATCACATTGCCATATAAATGTCGGCTTATGGGGCTGGCAGGGATGGGCATAGCTCTTGCTTAGCATGTGCAAGGCCCTGGGTTCAGTCCCCAATGTTGAAAAACAACAATAATGATTTTTTTCTTTGTTTTTAGATGTAAGCTTACATATGCACATTTTATTGATAACAAAGACTAGGATTACTGAATGGATTTTTTTTTTTTAATCACACTTGAGGATGTTTTAGATCCAGGACTTTGAAGAACAAGAGCCTTAGAAACCTCCATCTGGCACTTTCTCCATAGGCTTCAAAGAGTCATTTGCTCTTCCAGATGGTGTTTTAATGTCTATGCATAAATCTGGGTACACACAATAACACACAGGACTCATGTTTAGGTGTAAACACAGAGGAATACCAAAGATAAAAAAGAGCCAAACCTCAACCAGTCTTTACTTGTAATTCAGTAGACGTGAAAAGAAAAACCCTCAAGTGGCAGACAGAAAATCTGTGGTCTAATGTTGGGACTCGGCTACAGTTTATTCCTGGGCAACTGTGACTGAGCTCTATACTGTGTTGATGATGTGCATTTTTCTCAGTCTTCTGTAATGGAATAAAGACATGTTTACACAGAATTAAAATAATGTAGCCATTTTGGTCAGAGGACCATTGTTGTGGTTGGATTTTGAATGTCCCCCCAAAGCTCATGTGTTGGGGTTTTGTCCCCAGTCTATGAAGCTATTGGGAGGTGATGGAACATTTAGGTGGGGACTTGTGATGGTTTGGATGTGGGTGTCCCCCAAAAACGCATGTATGAGACAATGCAAGAGGGCTTAGGGGTGAAATGATTGGGTTATGAGATTCTTAACCAATCAGTGAATTAATCCCCTGGTAAGGATTAACTGAGTGGTAACTGAAGGCAGGTAGGGTGTGGCTAGAAGAAGCAGGTTATTGGGGGCATATCTTTTGGGCATAAATTTTGTATTTGGGGCTGGGGATGTGGCTCAAGTGGTAGCACGCTTGCCTGACATGCATGCAGCCTGGGTTCCATCCTCAGCACCACATACAAATAAAGATGTTGTGTCTGCCGAAAACTAAAAAATAAATATTAAAATTCTCTCTCTCTCTCTCTCTCTCTCTCTCTTAAAAAAATTGTATTTGGAGAATGGAGTATTTTTCTCTCTCTCTCTGCTTCCTGATCATGTCCTGAGGCACTTTACTCTTCTAGCAAGATGCTCTGCCTCACCTCAAGCCCCGGGGAGTGAAGTTGGCCTTCTGAGGGCTGAGACCTCTGAAACCATGAGCCCCAAATAAACTTTTCCTCCTCTAATTGTTCTTGGCAGGTCATTTAGTCACAGTGTTGTAGGGACAAACGAGGCAAGGCACCGAAGATAGCAGGAAACAGTTTTATTTGGCTGCAGCCAGGTTCAGAGGGCACAGCTTTTGCTGTAATCAATCAATCCCCTGAACCCCGAATTCAGGGAGTTTCAGAGTTTYATACCCAGCATGTAAGGGGAGGGGCTCAGAAGTTCACAGTCTGCAGAAGTTCACACAAAAGCAGCTTTTTATCTCACTGTTTGGGGCAAGTTAACTCTTCAAGGACAACTCCTGAGAGGGGGAGAGCTTCTTCTCCCCTTTCTTTCCTCCCCCTGCTGCTGTTACCATGGAGTAACTTCTCTTAAAAAATGTAGACATCTCTGTGAAGTCCAGCTCAAGGCCAGAGGCCTTGTTTGCACATTTCCACAAACTACTATACTAGATATGTTTGTGAAAAACTAGTCAGGGGGTGTCCAGCCATGGTGAAGTTTTCTGGAGAAGCCCAGTTAAGAATTGTTTGTGGAGAAAGTGGGGGGCCACTTCCACAGCAGTGAAAAATCTGACTACAACAGGCTAATGGAAGAAAGTTGGGACATTGGTTGGAGGTGTGCACTGGAAAGGGACATTGGGATCCTGTCCTCTTCCTAGTTCTCTCTGCTTCCTGGCCCTTTGCTATAAACAGCTTCCTTCACCATCTCTCCTGTCCTGGTGCCCTGTGCTCCCACAGGCCCAAAGGCAATGGGATCAAGTTGCCATGGACTGAAACCTCTGACTTGTGAGCCAAAATAAGCCTTTCTTCCTTTTAAGTTGTTTAACTCAGGTAGTTTATCACAGTGATTGAGAACTTACTAGCACAGTCTTGGAAGGGCTTCGTATCAGTTGAGTTCTTTTCCATTACAAACCAGCTCTTCCATTCCAGATTGCTAACTGTGAATCTAACCATAAATCTTCCTGGATGTGGCCCCAGGTTATGGCATCAGACTGGGCTGAATTTCCTCTCTACTACCTAGTCATATTGAGAGACTTAGTCTCCTGAATGGGAAAGTTGGGGTTTGGGGGCAGGGGGAGGTTGTGTGTTTTTCAGTAGTTTTACAACTTTGATAATAAGCAGTTAGTTCTCCACCCCATGGACTGTGGATTTTTGGAAATGAAAATTGTGAAGGGAACATACAGCTTATTTAGTGAATCTTCATACTTATTACATTTCCTGGACAACCACACACATGGAAACCATATGAAACATTTCTTAATCATTTGGCCCAGATAGTTTTGCTGAGCCTGGTATCATTGCACACATCTGGAGTCTCCATCACCCTCCTGGTAGATTTCCAGATCTTTTTCAGATCTGAGTGCCTAAAGGATACACTTTTTGACTTTGTTTTGTTTGGCAATGTGAGGATGGAAACCCAGGACCTCATGCATGCTAGGCAAGCACTCTACCCCTGAGCCCAGCCCACAGACTTCTGGAAGCCCATTCCGTGGATGCATTTTTGAATATTGATGATATATTCTCGAGTCACCACCTCATCGAGGACAGTTGGCATTTCTTCTTACTCCTGCCTTTGCAGGAGCCATTCTGCTGAGTCCAGTTTAGAAAGGAAGAACCTGAGGGATGTAAAAAAGTCAGCTGTTTATTTAGTACACAAAGAATCTTCTTTGGGGCCCCAAGCCATCTTGTACAGAAACTTTCTACAGAATTTCTAGCATTGGTGACTCATGTTCCCCAAACCCTTTGTTTAGAGATCAACCCAATCACTGGCCAATTGTTACAAGGTAGGTTAAGTGAGGCTTCCTCATAGTCTTTTGGCCTCTGTGACCACCACTCACATCCCAAAGCAATATCACTGGCTCCTACTCCAAATCCATTGTCACCACAGAATTATCCCACTTTTCTAGTTTTTTGGTAGAAGGATGGTATTTCTAGTTTTTTCATTCATGTAGTAAACTGATGCTTACTCTGTGTCAGAAACAATGCTTGCCTTCAAGGAGGCAAGGTTATAGGGAGAGAGATACAGATACTACCAAATAGAAGGCCAGGATAAAGGCTACCTTGGACTCTGGTGACCCATTGAGGAGGAGCATTGGCCAGCTAGTAGAGGCAGGGAGGGCTTTGGGAAGAACTGAATGCCGGCACTGAAAGCTACTAAGCAGTTCACTGTGTACCTTTCTTTTATATGGTAATGCTTTTCATTATAAAAAAATTAACTCACTGGTAAAAAAAATTTGGAAAAATCAGATATAGAAAACATTATCTATGCCTTCATGGTCCAAATATATCTTTGATTTAATTTTTTTATTTTAATGCTGTATTTTATTTAACCCAGTACATTAAAATTATCATTTCAGTAGGTCATCACATAAAAGTAATCTCATTATTAATAAGATATCCATGCTACATCTTATAAATCTGGTATGTGTCCCATGCTTATAGCACAACTCAATTAAGACTAGCCACAAGACATTTTAAATTTTCAAGACACTTCCTTCTTTTTTCCTTATTCTATACTTCTATTCTTTTTTCTATGTATAGACATTTTTTCTCTTGAGGAGATTTCATTTTAACATGCAAATTTTACATGCAAACCCCATCTTCCAATCCTTAAAACTTTAGCTGATCATCAGTACATAGATTTGGAAATCCATGTGACATCACTACTTCATACAAATTCCTTGACTATGTGTTTTATTGTGGTGGTGGTGGTCATATAGGGGATTGAATCCAGGGGCACTCTACCACTAAGGTACATCCTCAGCACCCCCTTTTTTTAAATGCTTTTATTTATTTATTTTTATGTGGTACTGAGGATCAAACCCAGGTCCTCGCATGTGCTAGGCTCAGCCCTTTTAAT